AAGGCAGTTCTGAAGGCGAAAGGGGGTCAAACACCGTATTAGTATGGTGTTCCTAATAATCCTTTAGGTGAGTGTATATGCTGAACTGGTTTCTCACCAGTGGACTTCTTCTTGTAATAGAACAATCCAGCGATGGCGAATACGAGCCCCAGCACCAAGCCAGAGGCTCCAATGATCACCTTGTTTCTCTCCCCTTCAGGCAGTGATGGGTCTAAAAACACAAGATCCTAGGAGTCAAGAGCTTTTCATAAATATGAATAGAGATTTCATTAATTCATTGGGTATGTATCCAGAATTTGTATGTTCTTCTGGGGGCTCTGGGTTCCTTCAACAGTTGATGGATGAATGGATAACTGATTTGTACTTTGTACATTAGTGTGTAATTTTTGTTGGAATAAAAAACTTCAAACAGCTACTAATGGAGTAAGAAATATATATACTAGATTAAATAAAAGTAATAAAGAGAGCTAAGCACATTTTATATAAATGTTTGTCTGCCAATAGTGTTCCCCTCTTTAACCCTGTTGATCTTCTGGCACACTGTTCATTTTTGTCTCACCCCATTTATAAGTCTTGGGCTGGCTGAAGCTGCTGTGATCCACCTGACACTGTATGGTCTCTCCAGACTGGGGTGTGAACTCCAGATAGGAGTGGATCTGGTGGTACCAGTCTCCATCGTAAAGCTCCTCGGTGGCGGTCACACCATCCTTCACCTCCACTCCATTCCTCAGCCATTTCAGTTTGATTCCTTCAGGGTAGAAGTCATACGCACTGCACTGCAGCTTTGTGGTGTGCCTTTCACTGGAGGCCTCTGCAGTTTTGACCTTGACTGTGGGTTCAACTAAAATGTAACAGAAGAGAATTAAATTAATAAACAGATCCTGAGGAAATTAAGCCAGCAGCATACAGACACATATGACGATCAAAAAGGCCATGCAGTGCTAAGTGTAATTGCTCACACCATTCAATATAATTCAAATATTAATAATTACTGAGCATGAATTACCAAATAGATATACCATAATTATATTAATTTCATATAAATGTAAATATACAAAATTTAAGAGGTCTACATGAAAGAGCATTAACATTAAGTGCTATATGCATAAAATCACACAGGTCAGCCATCATCCCCCGTCACCTGCTTCCTGTAAACCGCTGTGCCCATTTTCTTTGTAGCACATAACCCCCCTGTTCTCCTGCCTTTGCCCCTTGCTTTTCTGTACATTTTCCTCAGCATGTCCAACCACAGGGTGGAGTGGTGGCTCTGAGGCTAAGGATCTGTGCCAGGACCTGGAAGGTTGCTAGTTTAAATCCTCTGAATGCCTGGAGTGATTCTACTCCATTGGGACCTCGAGTAAAGCCCTTAACCTGCAATTGTTTTGTCTTGGGTATGACGTTAATCTCCATCCAACCCAATAAGGAGGTCCTCCAATTTACAGGAAAAAACTTGGAGGCTGGTGGCAGGATTGACACTCTAGCCACTGGAAAAAACTCAAACTGTTCAAGTCAGACTAGTGTGGTGCTGAGGTATCACCTGCCACATGGCTAACCTCAGGTTCTCATCCCTGAGGTGGTTTGTCCTGTGGTGGGTGTGGCAACGCACTGTAATCAGTGCATGCTCCTTACCTACCTCTGACAGCGGCTTCAGTTATTCAATAACACACTGAATTCATCCTACTGCTATTTCAGGTATTTATATATATGAAGTACAGTAACTGTCCATGCCGATCTGCTCTTCCTTGTGCCCGTGCGCTGTTTCTCACTCCACTTAGTATCACTCACCTGTACGCCGCAGTACAGAGTCAAAATCCAGCTCAGCGTTGGGCTTGCAGTATCCGTCCAGGTTGCCATGCTGTCGCTCCGCTTCTCCCTCTTTGTTGAATCTCTCCGCATTTTTCACTCCGATATCAGTGTAACCAATGTACTTATTCAGAGTGCTGTTATACCTCATATACTCCAACTTGTTAAAAACATATCTGTCGAAATACTCGATGTCCTTCAGGTCCTCTGAGCTGTAGCGGCATTCCCTTTGCATATGAAGGAAATAACCGTCTGATAGAAACACAAACAAACTCACATTAATACATATGAATGCGGTTTCACTTAACAGTTTTATATTGTATTGGTTATTTTACCAACGGATACAATAAACGAGAAGCACATTTTCGTTAACACACTCTTGTTGTTTTTAAGATGAGACCTAAAGTCAGGCTCATCATCGTGTTTCTGGGAACGAAAACCCTTCCGGTCCTCAGGTTTTTTAAGTGAAATTGATGACATTAAAATAAAAAAAAAAACTTAAGTGTTGACAAGAGATTAGGATTGTATATTCTTCTACACATACATCCATCCATTTTCCAACCTGCTTATCCTACTGGGATGCGGGGGGTCTGGAGCCTATCCCAGAAGCAAGAAATATCCTCAAAAAAGCGCTCCCACGAACTTCTGAGTGAGTTTTGAGTATTTCCTCTTCAAACATCCAATTTCACATAGCATATATAAAGGATTTAATGTGTTTTCTTTTTCATTTTCTAATTTTAACATCTAATCACCGTTACTAACCGTTGAAACTTGCGTGCGCTTAAAGTTTTTAAAAACCATCGTTACTCGTATGGACTCATATGGTTTAGCTTAAAACTTTTATCTGCTTATACACCATATTCCATATATAAATGTTCTAGGATCTACTTTAAAATGACATTTCAAAATTCTAGTTTCACATTTCAGTGACAATACAGCCTATGCAACCAGTTTTTTTTATTTAGACTACAGCTCATAATAATTATGTTTTACACTATTTTTATAAACACCCGAGTGGAGAGACATCGGCCGCTTACCGACGGCGGACAGCGCGGACAGCGCAGCGAGAGCCCGAAAGGCGCTGGGGAACCACGGACGCATGTCTGTGTCGGCGGCGCACGGACAGACCGCTGATCGGAGAACTGAGAGTGTGACTGTGACAGTGAAGCGAACCTATACGACAGATACCGGTATTACGGGAACCAATCATCAGCGGCGGCGACGCCACGTCATTCGTTAATAGGCAGACAAGATACGAGGGAAACGTACGCTCAAAATAAAATATAACATTAAGCCATACATTCTACACTCAGTTTCTAAAATATTCCGTTTCTTATATTGGACTGTTATAGCAGATAAATTGTTATGTGATTTCAAGCCAAACCTATGTGCACACCTCAATTATTATGAATTATTGTTAATATTATTAAACATCCATCTTCCACAGGCTTATCATGAGGCAGAAATATACCTTGGAGTGGATTTGTTTGAGCAGCTCGGGTGTAGTGGTTCAACCTGCAAAAAGCCTTTTATCCAGTTATCCACTTCTTCTTACTGTTTCAGGCAAATAATTCTGCTACAGTGACATCTAATTACTTTTCAAAATAAATACTATATAAATAAATACAACTGTGACATGAATTCCAGCTTTGTGGTGTCATATTGTAATTTTTGGTGAGACTATGTTCTGTTGTTCTACCATATTTTTTCAGGTTGTACTTTAGTATTGTTTTGCAGCTATCCTGTTAATCTACCTCTGTCTATCTACCCTCAGGAGGTGAGCGAGCTTGTAGAATAATGCTAGGTCCATAATCTCCTGCTCAACTTTGCCAAGACGGAGGAAATGATTGTGGATTTCAGAACATAAGAACATAAGAACATAAGAAATTTACAAACGAGAGGAGAAGATACTAGGTTGAGCATAACCCTCTATACATCGATCTAAGAGTATTAAATTTCTCAGTGTGCACCTTACTAAGGATCTCTCCTGGAACCAGGACATATCCTCCCTGACCAAAAAAGCCAAGTGGCAAACTCACTTCCTGTGGTGCTTCAGACAGGACAGACTGCCACCTCCCATCCTGTCCACATTTTCCAGAGGCATTGCCGAGAAGGTCCTTGCAAACTGTATCACAGTCTGCTTCAGGTTCTGCAATGCCTCACACCATCTGGTAGGATGTTCTGCAGCCTCAAAACCAGGACAGTAAAGCTTAAAAACAATTTTTCTCCCCTGGCAGTTTGACTGCTGAACAGTCTGGCCTCTTCGACTAACTTTTCCTCTCTGCACTTGAATCATAATACTGTAACGAATATGTATTTATTGTACATTCCTAATTATTTAATATCATTCCCTTTAGCACAATTGTATGTTTTTAAACTGTATTTTTTGTAAATGTATTTTAACTGTATTGTTTTTTGTCTCAATGACATATTTAAATGTCTTACATATGTATATTGTATTTATTACTGTTTCTTGGTAATACAATGAACAAGATTGACATTTCTCATGCATCATACAGTTGAAGTTGACAGTACTTTGACTAAAGACATTCTTTAAGATTTAGACATTCTCCAGCTTCAAAAACATAATCACTAGAGCATACATCCATAAATGTCACACAGGGCTGTATGCACGACCAGAAGGCAAACACAGGAGTCCAGGAATACGGGTAAAACTCATGATTTATTGGAGGGATGACACAAACGGGAGCACGGAAAAACATCAGCGACGTTAAGACTTCAATGAGAAGACTAGGGAAACATACTTGAAACATAGACTTAAGTGCACAGGACTAATGAGACAACAAGAAACAGCTGGTAAATACAGGGATTCCACACGAGGTAGATGAGGGGGCATGGCACACGGGAGGAGCAGCACGATCAGGGTGTGACAGAACCCTCCCCTAAAGGCATGCATACCGGGCTCAAAGAGGGAGCAAAGAGACGAGACCGGGGGCACGAGACCTGGAAAAAAAAAAGCAAAAACATCAACGTCAACAGGAACAAGACCGACACACAGAACAGGCACGAGGACAATAACCATTACAACAACTGACAAACCATGGGGAATGCAGACAGACACAGGGGCACCAACAAAGGAGACACAGGACCTAGGGATACTACAGGTAACGACACAGAGGGAACCCAACCAGAGGAATGCATGGACCAGGAGTGAACAAAGGTGGAACAGGTGGATGGGGAGTAAACACAGGGGGCGCACAGACAGGGGGAACAAAACCAGGGGGCCGAGAGGTGAAGGGCGGACGAAACCGGGGAGCCGAAGGGACCCCCCGCGACCACGAAGCAGGAGCAGGAGGAACCCCACGCGGCTGGGAGGTAGGAGCCGGAGGGGCTGCTGGAGGAGGCGAAGAGGGAGTAGGAACCGCTGCGGGCGACCGCAACAGCCGGCAAACGTGTAGGCGAGCGACAAGTCATTGCAGGAGGGGCCAAAGTGGAGCGATGAGCCGTCGCAGGAGGAACCGCAGGCGAGCGATGTGCGTGAGCAAAGGGACCCGCAGGCGAGCGGGAGCAACAGGACCTGCGGGCAACCACAGGGGTTGGGTGGGAGGGACCCTCAACCGGCATAGGTGACCTCTCCGTCTCCGTGATATGGAGAGATGACCTCCCTGTCGAAATCGGGACCTGGATGTCTTTCTGGAGGGGTCTTCTGGGGTGGATCCCAGGGAGAATCCCAGAGGATCCCACTCCAGCTCATCCTCTGATGACGAGGAAGGGAAGGCAGTCTGGAGAGCCAAATCCTCTGGGGCTTGACTAGGACTCTTGGGGAGAGGATCCTGAGGTAGCGGAGCTGGGACAAGGTCCCGAGGCAGGGTAGCTGGATCTGTGAGAATAGGGATATGCCATGGGTGAATGATGCGTCTCTGGGTCAGATGCCACGGGGAGAGGATGTGCCTCTGGGGCAGATGCCACGGGGAGAGGTCTTTTAAGGACCTTGGGGATTCTCAGGATGGGGAGCAGCTGCGCAGACCTTGGGCGCACACTCACGAGTGGTAGCTGCGCAGGCTTTGGGCGTACATTTGCGGGGAGCAGCTGCGCCATCTTCGGGTGTTGAAAGGACGAATGTCACCAAATTAAGGATCGGGAGGGGCTCCTCCCGATCCACCGCCGGGAAGGAAGCAGGGACTGCAGCGGACCCCAGAAGGTCTTCAGGCAAGCCCTCCCACCTGTTGTCTCTCCGCTTCTTTTTCTTCCTGCGAGCTGGCTTTTGTGAGGTCTGGAAAGTCAAACGCCAATGGAGGAGGAAATCCACAGTCCACGCTCACCTCCCGGATTATATCCCCTGTGACCCAGCTTCTTAGCTGGGTCAAGTTTCTCCGCACCTCATCCGCAAGGTGCGGATCTTTGGAAGGGGAAATCCTCTCTAGGATATCTCACAACTGGAACATTAGTGCTTAGGCAGCTGGGTCCTCCCGTACCTCAGGCTGCCATAGCCAGTAAATCACCTTGTCGACCAGGATCATGTAGTCATCGTCCGTGAGACAAGGTGTCCTTTCTTCGAGTCTTGTCATTCTGTCACACGGGGCTGTAGGCACGACCAGAAGGGAAACATGGGAGTCCAGAAATACGGATAAAACTCTGGATTTATTGGAGGGATGACACAAACGGGAGCATGGAGAAACATCAGCAACGTTAAGAATTCAATGACAAGACTAGGGAAACACACTCAACGCAGACTTAAATGCACAGGACTAATGAAACAACAAGAAACTGCTGGTAAATACGGGGATTCCACACGAGGTAAATGAGGGGGCGTGGCACACGGGAGGAGTAGCATGATCGGAGTGTGACAATAAAATCATCTTGTCTCCTTTCCCTGACCAGATTGCAATCACCTCATTTTTCACAATGCAACGTTTCTGGTAAAGGTTGCAATGAAACTTTCACCTTTATTTAAAAAGTTTGGCCTTCATTAAAATATGTTCATGCTTTTCAGGAGAAACAAATACATTCATGACAAACAATGCATTAAGTTACCATGCTATAAGAATTTCTGATCACTAAAATAGCCAAGTGACATGTTTTGCATAAAATGAAGTATAGCTATATATGCAAGAAAATAAGAAGGTGTTTGGTATGGTGAAGAGTTAGTTTGATCAGGGGTGCTTTAATGAACAGGCTTATCTGCCGCTGAAGAGCTGGGGACTCTGCTAAGTGACCTGTTTAGTAAAATATCAAACCTAGAGTTGTCACCCGTCCTGTATTTTATGAGATGATATGGTGGTGCATCCCATTTTGAACCAATAAGGGGTGTGATTTGTCGCCACCCACTCCAGTCAACAACCTATATACCACAGTAGAAAATAGCAGAGGGGCTCTGATAACTCAAACAGCCCAGGGGCCTCTGATTTTGTTAATGCGCCTCTGATCTTAAGTATGTGAATAAAAACATGCTGCATGCTCTCTAATGGTATTTGTCATTATGAAATTCCAGACAAACCGCAAAAGAATAAAGACAAGTTGGATTCTTTATAATGTCAGAGGGCTGCAGCTTGGTGCTGGGACTGTCCACAATGATGCAACAGAAAGAGGATTTTAAAGGATTACATGGTCATTCAATAATTTAATCATTTGCAGCAGATTACTGTGTTACATTAATGTGTCCAGAAAATCACCTCTACTGCATGTGATCCAGCACAATAATGCTAAAGGAATACTGGAGTTCAAAATGAATTTACAATACAGTTTTAAGCTTGGACAGCAACATTTAGATACAGGGATCCTTTGAATGTGGTGAAGCATTGTATTTGTGCTCTTCCTGAGTTACATATTTGTTAATGTGCAATTTCAAATATTTAATTTTAAAACAGTGTGTAGAAGAACACACAATCCTAATCTCCTGTAAACACTCAATAAGGTTTTCTTCATTTAATGTAATCAATATCACTTCAATTAAGTGAAGTGATTAAAGTACACTTTATTAGGAACATACAGAATCACGTGATTAAAGTACACTTCTCTAAACAAGTATGTACAAAATTGATGATTTTCCTTTTACAATAATGGATTAAAATCAAAAACATCAAATTTATCCTTTATGGTGATCATAAACACATAAACACAAAACAAAGCATTCAAGATGCCAAAAACAAGGGTTAGGAATAAAGTACCAACGTAAAACAATTTCTACTTTATTTTCTTCTTTAAGATTTATGACAGAAATGTCATAGGCAAATTTGTACTTGGTGTAATACACAGAAACTTCATTTTTGATAATTGATGAAATAGGTAAATGTTAATTTTATAATTAGTAATATTAATAATGTACATGCTCATATGATCCCAGGTGTGTACATATTAACCAGTTAAATATATATTATATAGACATTACTTTTGTCACAAGTCTATTACACAGCCTACTTCCTGAAGCACTCTTATCTGATTGGATGTTATGAATGAATTACACAGAATTTCAGCATGTTAACTGGACCTATCCGAGCTGTTAGTGCTTAATCCTGAACGTCTTTCTTAGCTGCAGTTGTTTCCCTTGACGAGGAAGAAGGTTCCGGCTCCCACTCCCAGCAGCCCCAGAGTCAGTCCGATTCCACAAAATGCTGTTTTTCCGATGTCGGACTCATCCCGAAATTCTGGTTCTACATGAGCAAAGACCAATATGATATGCAATTAATTTATATGTATTTTAATTGATCACTGGTGGCTTATTATAGTTGATCACTGCATTTATAATAAAAACACAAAATCAGATGTATAAACTGAAACCATACCTGACTATTATTCAACTAACTGTATTGGCATCTGATAGGAATACTGCTAAACCATCCTCACCCTCCATAATCAGATTTAAAAAATTGTTGGTACTTGTAAGATTTATAAATAATAAATATAATATGAAAATCAATATTAAAAAAATTCTATTAGGGGCAGTGTGGTGGTTAGCACTGTTGCCTCACACCTCTGGGACCTGGGTTCGAGTCTCTGCTTGGGTTCCGTGTGTGGAGTTTGCATGTTCTCCCCATGTCATCATGGGGTTTCTTCTGGGTATTCCAGTTTTCCCCCACAGTCCAAAGATGTGCTGAGGCTAATTGGAATTACCTACTACCTATAGGTGTGTGTGCCCTGCAATGGGCTGGCCCCCCATCCTGGGTTGTTCCCCACCTCATGCCCATAGGCTCCGAACCCCTCATGAACCAGAAGGATAAGCGGGTTGGAAAATGGATGGATATTTTCTATTATATTTATTACTTTAGTTCTGTTTTTATGATGTTCTCATCTTGAAATCATCATCTTTATATACATTTTTAAAAATACCATTGCCCCAGCTTGCAGATTCCCTTTAAATCATAAAATGTGCAATTAAGCTCAGCAAAGCTGCACTACAAACTTCTAATTCAGACCCAGTGGAAGGTAGAAACGGCAGTTACCCATGTAACATTTAACATGTTATACCCATGATTATACCCTTACCCCAGAACCTGGTCTCAGGCTCAGTCAGCCCTTGGTGATACACAGTGCAGGAGTAGTCATCCCCTTTCTGGGGGGTGAATTGGAGGGTGGAGTACTGTCTGAAGGAGAAGTCACTGTTGGGATAGTAGCGACTCAGAGTCACTCCCTCCTTCACCTCCATGTTATTTTTAGTCCATTTCACTTTGACAGGTGGTGGGTAGAAGTTGTTCACAAAGCAGATCAGAATGTTGTTTTTACCAAGTTCAACTTCATTCCTGGTGTATATTGTGAGCTGGGGTGCATCTGAGAAAGCAAAGATAATTATTAAATTACAATTTTTATAGATTGCTTTGGTTCATTTCATAAAAGATACTTAACATTCTCAAAACTATTAGAGCATTTCTCAAACCAGTTCATGCATATAGCACAACACTATGGTTTAGCTGCAAAAGACTAACTTACCCAAAACAATTACAGTTTTTCACGATTGCTTTAGAGCAGGGGTGTCAAACTCAATTGCACAGGGGGCCAAAAACTCAAAGCACACTTTAGGTCACAGGCCGAACAGGATAAACATTTATTGAACAGACTAAAACTAAATGTTTTTTTTAACATAAATATGAATTGAAACAGACAGGATACAATACTATTCCCAAATAAATAAACTTAAACTTAAAATAACTAAAAATATTTTGCTCTCTATAAAAATATCTCCTGTCAAAATGATACGAATTCAAAATATGAATACTGTGTGCAGGTTTGGTCACCATACCTCAAGAAGGACATTGCTGCCTTAGAAAAGGTGCAACGAAGAGCTACGAGAATGATTCCTGGTCTTAGAGGAATGTCTTACGAGGAGAGGTTAGCGGAACTGAATCTGTTCAGCCTTGAGCAAAGGAGACTAAGGGGGGATATGATTCAGGTCTATAAGATTCTAACGGGTCTGGATGCTGTTCAGCCAAATGACTATTTCAATATTAGTCTAAATACTAGAACTCATGGCCATAAGTGGAAATTAGCGGGAGAACATTTTAAAA